AGCAAACATTTAAAGAACTTAGTTATAGTATGTAGGGAACTGAACTGATTCCTCACTTAAGCATATATACCCTCCCTAACATGGCACGTCCAGATCTGTCTTACCGCTACCCCAGTTCCTATCTTAGTACCTGCTACAAAGTAAAGGGCCAAATATATGATGAACAAACATGTTTAAGGTGTAAATGTACAAATCCCTCAAAAAGAATAGAAACCCTTCCCCCTCTCCAAGCTGATTCTTACTTATTCTCCAATCTCACTTAACTTGCAGTTCCACACCCACTGGTTCCCAACTCTTTTCACTCAGCTGAATCTCACCAACGTCAAAACTCAGATTCAGTATTACTTTTTCCATGAAAACCTCTCCTGCGGCAGCAGAGTTCTAGGTTCCACGTTGGGTGTTCCTCCTACATGCCTCCATAGCACTCTTGTTTATCCTTATGGCCTTGGCATGTTATAGTAAAAAAAAAAACAACTACCATATATACTCGTGTATAAGCCGAGTTTCCTCAGCACATTTTTAACACAATTTTTGTGGTAAAATTAGGTGCATTCAGTACCTCCCCCATGCCTAGCACAGTGCAAGACATATAATGGGCCCCCAAACACTAAGTCAATGAACCAGAGAAGTAAATATTGGAAGCACACAATTCCTGAAGTAAATGATAGATTTTTTTTTTTTTTCAAATAAGAAGACAGGCCAAGAAAGGTTAAGTGGCTCACCCAGTCAAGCCTTGGTTTCTTGAATCAAAATTCTCCTCCCACAAAATCATAAAACCTATTATATATAATAGCTTAGTGAAGCTATTGACCCAAGTTTTCCACAAGCTTCCAGACTCAAACCAAACCTACTGCCATCAAGTTGATGCCAACTCATAGTGACCCTATAGCACAGGGCAGAACTGGCCCCGTCAGTTTCCAAAATAATAACTCTTTACAGGAGCTCAGAGCAGCTGGTGCTTTGTAACTGCTAATCTTGCCATTAACAGTCCAACACATAACCATGATGACAACTGGGCTCCTTATGAACCTCCAGAAATAATACAAAAATGTTACTAAAAACCATTTCAGCTTCACCTATGCAGCTCTTGTTGACTATATCCGTTGTGAAATCTCTGCTGCTAATTAATAACAGTTTTTCACCCAGAGTAGGCCAGTCTTTAATTGAACCCACCTTTTACATACCCTTCTCATACACTAAAATTCAATCCAATACATATTTATCATGAATCTGCACACAAAAACAATATGCGTAATTTGTTGCCATTCTGAAAAATACCTCCAAGTGTATGCTCTTTAAGCTTATCAGTATCTTACTGATAGGCACTGCACCTTCATGAGGAAAATCCCTGTAGTCCAACTGTATGTTTTCTGTGGTTGCTATGTTATACTGCAATTGTTACTGGGCAACACCACAGAAGCTAGGGAGGCGAGCTCACTAAGGAACAACTGAATCAAAGCAAGATTAGAAAAGTAATGATATAGCTCTTTTTTTATAATCATCAGTCACAGGCTTTATAGTACAACTTTAAAATTGACCTGCAATTTTTCAAGAAAAACTTACTAAAAATGACAGGTAGTTTTCAAAAGAGAACGAGTAGCTACAGTTTCCTTCAAAATGATTTAAAGTCACAATTTAAAGAAAAAAAATTAAATAACTGAGTGTTTTCAGATTTTCTTAGCTTCTTTCATCTTGGGCTAAAAGCCAAATCCACTGTCATCAAGTCAATTATGATTCATAGCAACCCTATATGACAGAGTAGAACTGCTCTATCGAGTCTGGGAGGCTCTAATTCTCTAGGGAAGCAGTAGCCCTGTCTTTCTCCCTTTGAGTGAGTGGCTCATGGGTTTGAACCGCCAGCCTTTCATTTAGCAGACCAACACCTAACCCACTGTACCAGCAGGGTCCCATCCTGAGCCAATGCTGAACTAAATTCAAAAGAAAGAGCACTAGCCTTGACAAGTCAGTGAATGCTCCATGACCCAGAAAGGGCACACCTGGTAAAAAATATACTTTAGAAAATTGTTCATTTATGAGGGTCAGATAAAAGGACTGGCATAATTTCATAAAATAAGCCTGAGCAAGTCAAAAAGTAAAATTTAAAGGGATAATATGAGGAACTGGGAAAACAGGGATGGGAGGAGAAAGGAAAACAGAGAAGGGAGAAAAAGAATGCAAGGACACTGAGGAAGAGAACTAGTGAGATGTTTAAAACTAAGATTCTACCAAGGAAGAACCAGGAAACTGACCAAACTCCCCAAGTCCACTGGGGAGTAGTGTCAGCATTCATGAGGGAGCGCTTACTACTGATACTGTCATGGGAAATTCTCAAACATCCACTTTCTAGGAACTGAAAACAGCCTGCCTTCTGACTCTAATGAATCCCCCATTATCTAAATCCCCTTGCTTACGATTTAGAGTTACCCTTCCCTTACTCTCATCTCTCAACAATCTTTTTCAGCGTTCACTGTGCTTTGGAAGGGGTGGGGGTGGGGGAGTGCATTGGATCTGGTATCTTGCCCTTAAGTTACTTACAATCTAATTGGAATGGAAAACAAATACACATAAATAAAAATAAACGCACAAGTATAAATATCAAATAAGAGTGACTGACAAGTATGATAAGGTTTCAAAGGTCATTTCAGAGGTCATAATGGATTGAACTTTCAAGAAAGGGTACAATTTAGGTTTTAGGGAAGAAATCAGGTGAGATAGGTACCCTGTTTCCCCGCAAATAAGACAGTGTCTTTTATTAATTTTTGCTCCCAAAGAGGTGCTCGGTCTTAATTTCAGGGGATAGCTTATTTTTCCATGAAGAAGAATATGGTACACATGCATTTATTGTTTTATTAAGAGAGACTCGCACTTCCTGTCTGCTCTGGCTGCACTGTAGCCAACAGTGAGCTGCAGGCAGCGCCTGCCGCTATGGTCCAGAGTCCAGGGTTACTATAGTTTCGGGGGCCTTCTTGTCGGATAGGCCTTATTTTCGGGGGTGCCTTGATTTCAGCAAGTGGCAAAACTGTAAGTAGGTCTTATTTTGGGTGTCTTGTCTTACTTTCGGGGAAACAGGGTGGAATGGGTATGGCTAGGGAAAACCACACTGTAAGCTTAGAGGGTAGTGAAGAAACCAGTTTGGCCAGAACCTAGTTTTTGTTTCCCATAAAGATCATAAACTTGACAAATTTAAAGTTTTTGAAGAGTTCAGATTAAGAAATTTGAATGTCAATCAGTAGGAAAGAGTATTCCAAAAATGTTTTTATATAGATCCATTTATGTATTCCCCAAAAGTGCATGTAAACTTGACAACTGAAGAAAATTTCTTAGTGAATCTATTATGTTTAGCAAGATTAAAATAAAACTCATTTATATGAAGCACAAAGACATTACGGAGGAAATTTTTTAAAAGGTCTTAATTCTAACAATTCAGTAATCTTTTCACTGAGATTTCATTCACCTGTGCTCCTTAAATAGGAATTTCCTATGATGTACTACTGACTTCTGATGGAGGATTTGGGGCACATAAGTCATTCTTTGTCTTCTCTATGGGAAAGGAAAACACGGTAAGGGTTATGATGGAACACCAAGCTTTTAATTCTAATTCCTAGTAGTTTGATTTCAATGAAGCCATTTAATCTCACTGTGCCTCAAAATGTCTCATCTACTTTTTTTTTTTTTGAAAGGTTACTGCATTCAAAAGATCATGAAAAAAAAATGCTCTGGAAACTGACTTACAAATCACATCTTTAAGAGTTCCGTGCCGGGAGACAGACTGGGTTATTGGTTAAGCCAAGGCTTTAAAACTACCTGTCAATAATCAGTGTTTCCATTTCCCAATGCTCCATGGAACTCAAAATTATTTGAGAAAAATTCCTGACTGTAGCCTACATACTTCATCAGGTTAGAAAATACTCAAAGTAAAGGGAGCATTCCAGCCAACCCCATTCTAGAAAAAAACGAAAAGCAACTCAAATTCAATTGAACTCCCTGGAGAGTTCCTGTCTGACCCTGAAATTTATTCTACACAAAATGTGCCTTAAGTCAAACCTCCATGGGATCGCAAGGTATTACTCATAACCACTACAAACTCAACTTAGGAATGTGGAGAACTCTGGATGCAGATTTGTGGGATGCAATTAATGATATACTAACTGTATATGAGACTTGTTTATGGAGCGGTTACTTGGCAACCGGAGCACTGCTGCAACAACCTACTCAGCTGCACACTACTCAAGTACTCTGTGCCGCTAGCCTGAACATAGGAACCACATCCTCTGCTTGAAGAAAATCACTATAAGGCTCTCCTTACACATAAGAGTTTTTGGAAATACTCTCATCACTACAACCAGATCAAAGGCTTTTCAAAGACTTGGCAGTGAGCTTTTTTAAGTGAACAATGTCCACTTACTATGGTCAAACGTTGGACACGAAGCGTTTACCCAGTGTCCATATAATTTTTTAATCGTTTTATTAGGGGCTCATACAACTCTTACCACAATCCATACATACATCAACTGTGTCAAGCACATTCATTGCCCTCATCATTCTCAAAACCTTTGCTCTCCACCTAAGCCCCCGGCATCAGCTCCCCATTTTTCCCCTCCCTCCACGCTCCCTCCACCCAGTGCCCATTTAAACCCGGTATACATGCCATTATCTCAGCAAGGTCCGTCAACGCCCACTAAACTTACTTTCAAGGCCAAGGGGAAAGGTTGCCCGGCTTTCTCATCACAAATGAAAAACAGGAGCTCCTCTCAGGGTAGTCCATTATTAAACTGGCGACAAGACCACCCGAAGAAGTGCAACAACAATCTCCCCCAAAGAGTTTCACGTGCATTTCATTGGCTACAGCCTACTTCTCTAACGCGCGCTCGAATCTTTTTTTTTTTTAATCACAAAAAAAGGATTCGGAACGAACCCCCCCACCACCACCAAAAAAAAAAAAATCACGAGTTTTCCAAAATACGGAAAAGATCCCGGCCCGAGAAAGAAAGGTTCCGTACCTGCCTCCGACGCAGTCCCCGCCAGGAGCGCAAGCTAAAGTTCGCTGCCCCCGGCGTGCGCGCTGGCCGCACTCGCCGCCCGGGGCCGCCTCCGCCGCGCCAGCCGCCCGCACGCGCTCAGCTCTGGTCGTCGAGGCATTGGCGCTCCGGGCGGCGCCCCCGCCCCGGGGATGTCCGCCGGGTCCGCTGAGCCGGGCGAGGACCGGGTGGCCGCTCGCGACCCGGGCTGCCTGAAGGAGCGGCAGCGGGCCCCTCGGAGAAATCTCAGAGGTCTCCCAGAAAGCTCCGAGGGCGGAGAGGCGGCGGCGGAGAGGAGCCCAGACGTCTCCGGGGACGGGCCTCTTCAGAGGTGCGGGACCAACTTCGGCCCCGACGCCCGGTCCCGAAGCCGGCCGCCCGCCCACCGCCCCTCACGCCTCCCGGAGTGAGCTCCGTCCCGAGACCCGGGGGCGCGCGGAGCAGGAAGTCCCGCCCCCTGTGCTGACGTCACCGACGCCGCCTGCGTCAGCCGCGGTGGGAAGCCGTTGGTGGGAGGCGGGAGGTGAGAGAGCTGAGGTTGCAGCGGGCAGCGGCGGCGGGAACTTGGTGCCCCGGCGTTCCTCCCGGAGACCACCTCAGCCCAGCTGGAGGGAACGGAAAATTCAGGGCTGGGCCCGGGCCGCAGAGGGTGGGGGTGACGCGCGTGGGTCAGGCAGGAAATGGGTCTCCCTTAGCCGCTGCCGTCCGTTTGGCGCGCCCCTGCCCGCGCCCCTCTGTTCCCCTCCTCGGCCTCCTCTGAGGCTCCCGCAGTCCTCCCCGCCAGCGTACGGCGGGGCCCGTGGGCGCCCAGGTGAGGGGGTGTAACCTGCCGGCGATCTCTGCTCCGCTCACCTCGCGGCAGCTCACCGGATAGCGCCCAGGGGGGCCCTGGACAGGATGCCCCTGCTCCCGCCCCTCCTTGTAATTCGTGACCCTCAAATTCAGGACCTGCTCTGGATACCCGTGGGAACCGTGTATCTTCCGGTGCTAAACTGGAATTGAACGAGAGAAGCCTAGCGTTTGAAAACGTCCATCAATAAGCCAAGGGCTGGATGAAGGTAGGCCCTGAGCCTTTCCAAATAGGTGCTGGAGGAAATACACAGGGAGAGGCTTCCAAAAAAGTAGTGGAAATCTTCCTTTAAATTCCATTTTGTCATGAACGTTTGGAAGCCCCCTCGTGGACACTCTCTCCTCACATGGAGTGCCTTGATTTTTAATTCTCCGCACATTGTCTGGCACAGCTCACTCTGACCCCAAAGTTAACGAGCCCTAGTTAGGTTGGAATCAGCTGAGAAATAGCTTTTTCAATGGAATGAGGAAAGAGGAACCAACCGGAAAACAAAACAAAAACTGGTTGGTGTTTTGTTTTTGTTTTTTCAGACGGAGATCACTTCCAAAATGCATCTCAGTGGACTCAACTCCCAGTCTTTGGGTTAGCGGCCAAACATTAACCATTTGCACACACATGGACTGCAGAATAATACGAGGGGGATTTTGTGGGGAAATTTCATTATCTTTTACTTCAGTTTTTGAAGCCCACTTTTTTATAAGTGGAGCCCTGATGGCGTTGGGCTGCGGTCTTCAAAGTCTGCGGTTCGAAACCACCACCCACTCTACGTAAGAAAAAGGGGGCTTTACTCCCATAAAACATTCACTACCTCAGAAACTGACAGGGCCAGTGTACCATGTACTATAGGGTTGCTATGAGTTGGCATCGACCCAGTAGCAGTGAGTACTTTGTATAATAATAAAAATAGTTTTTTTACTGAAGACTTATCTATCAGGTGCTTTTCTGAATTATCTTAAACTCTATAGCTCTGCAAAATAGATACATTTATTATCTCCATTTTTCAAAGTTACCTAGAGCTAGTATTGGAGCCAGGCTGTCTTATCTACAAAAGCTTTATAAAATACAAATCAGTGTATCTGACAAATGGCTATCCAGTGGTGGATAGGAGTCCTGGGGTTATACAGTTAGCCTAACCACTAACAGAAAGGTGGGAGACAAGGCCACCCAAAAGGACCTTAAGAAAGACCATTGAAATTTTTTTCATTGTAGTGAAAACCTCCATGGAGCAAATAATGGGATCACTGGGAGGTGAAAATGACTTCACACAACTGGTTTTACTGGTTAAGCCAGTTCAATTAACAGATGAAAAAAATTGTTCAACTTCCAAAGAGATCCATGTCATCTATCATGGTAAAGGTATAGGAAAGCAATTACTGTCCTGCCTGACTGGTACAAAATTTAAATTGATAACAACCTTATTTAACAAAATTTGTTTCTCTCATTTTTTAAATATTTTTTTTAATTGGAGCTCATACAACTCTTACCACAATCCATTAATCCATCCATTGTGTGAAGCATATTTGTACATTTGTTGCCATCATCATTCTCAAAACATTTTCCTTCTACTTGAGCCCTTGGTATCAGCTCCTCATTTTTCCCCCTTCCTCCCTATCCCCCCTCCCTCATGAACCCTTGATAATTTATAAATTATTATTTTGTCATGTCTTACATTGTCTGGCGTCTCCCTTGGCCCACTTTTCTGTTGTCCGTCCCCCAGGGAGGGGTTATATGTAGATCCTTGTGATCTGTTCCCCTTTTCTAACCCACCTTCCCTCCACCCTCCCAGTATCACCACTCTCACCACTGGTCCCGAGGCATTCATCTGTCCTGGATTCCCTGTGTTTCCAGTTCCTATCCTCTGGTTCAGTTACATTCTCTGGTTCAGCTGGATTTGTAAGGTAGAATTGGGATCATGATAGTGGGGGGAGGAAGCATTAAAGAACTAGAGGAAAGTTGTATGTTTCATCGGTGCTACACTGCACCCTGACTGGCTCATCTCCCCGTTACTTTCTGTAAGGAGATGTCCAGTTGTCTACAGATGGGCTTTGGGTCCCCATTCTGCACTGCCCTCATTCTCAATGATAAAATTTTTGTTCTTTGATGCCTGATACCTGATCCCAGGGATACCTCGTGATCACAGGCTGGTGTGCTTCTTCCATGTGGGCTTTGTTGCCTCAGAGCTAGATGGCCGCTTGTTTATCTTCAAGCCTTTAAGACCCCAAATGCTATATCTTTTGATAGCCGAACACAATCAACTTTCTTCACCACATTTGCTTATGCACCTGTTTGTCTTCAGCGATCATGTCAAGATGGTGAGCATAATGGATTGCCAGTTTAATAGAACAAAGTGTTCTTGCATTGAGGGGTTACTTGAGTGGAGGTCCAATGTCCAGCTGCTGCCTTAATACTAAACTTATAAATATATGCACATAGATCTATTTCCCCATCATCATATATAAATATATTTACATATGTACATTCCTGTATTTAAACCTCTAAATGCCCTTTGCCTCCTAGTTCTTTCCCCTATTTCCTTTTGCTTTCCTCTTGTCCCACTATCATGCTCAGCCTTCATTTGGGTTTCAGTAATACCTCTCGGTTACATTGCCCTTGATCAAGCCCTACCAGGCCTCCTACACCCTCTTCACCAATTTTGGATCACTTGTTGTTCCCTTGTCCCTGGGTGTGTTAACACCAACTTTCTTTTCCCCGCCTCTTTCTCTCCCTTGTCACCTCAGACTCCTTGTTTCTTAAGATTAAGTCTAAGGAGAGTAGCAAAGAGATCCACAAGAATGTACCTGGTTCCCTTTTTTAATAAAGATAATGCTAAAAATCACAATACCCTTCACTATTAGGACACTCAGTAAATTATGTTGTATGTTTACAATGTAACATTCTGCAACCATTAAAAGTGTTGATAAATCTTTTTATTTACATGAAAATTATCCATAGCCATTGGGCCTCAACTCAACTACTCAACACAAGAATACTTTGTTCTAATCAGCTTTCTCTGATGCTCATCTTCCTGACATGATAGCTGAAGACAAAATTGATGCACAAGCAAATGTGAAGAAAGCTGATGGTGCCCGGCTATCATAAGATATAGTGTTTGGGGTCTTAAAGGCTTGCAGACAAGTGGCTATCTACCTCAGAAGCAACAAAGCCCACATGGAAGAAGCACACCAGCCTGTGTGACCATGATGGGATCAGGTATCAGGCATCTAAGACCCAGAACAAAACTATACCCAATGTGAATGGGGGTGGGGTGGTGTGGAGTGGAGAACCAATGCCCATCTGTAGATGGAAGAGATGAGCCAGTCAGGGCGCAGTATAGCACCGATGATACAACTTTCCTCTAGTTCCTTAATTTTCCTTACCCCCACTATCATGACCTCAATTCTACCTAACAAATCGGATTAGACCAGAACATGCACACTGCTACAGATAAGAGCCCACAGCACAAGGAATCCAGGATAGATAAACCTTCAGGGCCAACAAGGAGAACAGAGATACCAGGAGGATAAGGGGAAGGTGCTGGGAGAAAGGGGGAATCAATCACCAGGATCGACATATAACCCCCTCCTAGGGGGACAAACAACAAAAGTGGGTGAAGGTGACAGAGGATGATGTAAGATATGAAAATAATCTATAACTTATCAAGGGTTCATGAGGGAATGCAGGTGGGCAGGGGAGAGGGGAATGAGGAGCTGATATAAAGGCTCAAATAGAAAGAAAATGCTGATGCCAGCATATGTACAAATATGCTTGACACAATGAATGATTGTATGGATTGTGATAAGGGATGTAAGAGCCCCCAATAAAAGTATTTAATTAGAAATGAAAAGAAAATATGTCCATAGCTTATCAATTGATGCCCCTGTGCATTTAAAAAACGTGAATATATTTTCATAAATGAAGGAGTCCTGGTGGCACAATGGTTAAGCAATCAGTTGCTGACCCAAAGGTAGGCAGTTCTCTGGGAGAAAGATGTGGCAGCCAGCTTCTGTAAAGATTGTACCTAGGAAATTCTATGAGAGCAGTTCTCTTCTGCCTTCCCCAAAGGGTTACTATGAATTGAAGTCAACAGCAATAGGCTTTATATAAATACAGGTAGTCTCTGATTCAAGTTACTTGGTGCTGCACCTAGGACTCACTGGTTTTTGTTTGGACTGATAGGCAT